GGAGGTGCTGGGTTCCCAAGATCAAGAACTGCTATCTGTGCAGTTATCATAGATTCCAAATAAAAATATCCTGTTATGGAACATAACAAAAAAGTCTTTATACTAACTACAGAGACACATGGCTTCCTCAGGGTCTGGTGTGCCCCTGGAGAGGTATAAGTCCCAGCTTCCATCACTGGTGGGCCGTATTCCACCACTTGCCGTGTCTTGCTACCCTGCCAGTTGATCTGCTCCATAAATTTTCAATCAAAATGAATGCTTTAAACTAACCTGGTCTATTTTCCCTAGTAGACTAGGGGACAATCAAATGATTATATCAGCTGGCAAATCTAAGGCAATGGTCATCCTCAACTATTCACTGTCAGGGACAACCAAACAAGTGATTGCCTGGAGCTGATAAACTTCTGTCATGGAGTAGTTGGAGTCAAACAGAATGTGTAGTTCCATCTTAATTATAAATGTATCTAATTAGAAAAAAAATAACCCCAAAACTTTATAAGGAAAATTTTTATTGTGTGTTCACTTTATAAATTAGCCACAACAGAAAAAATATTGAAAGCAGACAAAATACTATGTCTGAAATCCTAATCTGATATTTACAGGTAACTGCAAAGACATCTTCATGAAAGTATGTGGCTTCAATATCACCTAAGGGAAAAAAACATTTGTCATCTATGATCTACTTTAGGTTTTGTCAATATAAACAGCTTTTCTACAGAAAAGATGCTGAACTGGATGGACAGCAGATCTTTTTTAGTCCAGCACTTTTTTATCAACAAACATATTAATCGTGAGGATCATCAGGAGAAGGCTGTATCACATCCAAGCCAAGTCAAGGGATAACAATTGAGGTGTCCATAGAAAAATAAGACAATCAGTCCTTAAGAAGAACAACAATAATTGGGTGACAGAAGATAAGTTTCTCTCTAGTAAAGTTGAAACAAGAATTAAGAAAAGTGAAAAAAAATTTTAGAGTCTCATAAATTTAATATTTTTTAAGAAGAATGAATTTGCAATCATTTAACTATTTTGTCAAGAATAACTTTTCCTTTGGCACAAGGAGTTCTAATCTGGTAGTCAATTTATATGATAACTGAAAGGGCAGCATATTCCATAACTGAATCAAAGTAGATAATTACTTGGATTTCTTTTGTTCCTAAATATTTAGAACCTATGACTTCTTAAATCATAAAGCACTGAGGATGTGTTCTTGTCTGCTTTGTCTCAAATACAAACAGTAATATATGACTCTGAATAGAGGGTAAGTGGGAATAGGCATGTATATGGCTTCAGAAAATGATCACCTAGAGATGTGATTGCTATCATGAATAATGGGGGATTAAACTCCAGATTTAAATCTTATCATATTTAGGCTTAAAAAAAAAGAACACAGAGACAGCTGATCTATAACCCATCTAGTGTAATATTTCTGTAACTCTCATTTTACATCTTGGATTATGACTGTTGCAGACACCTGAGGATGTGTGTGGTATTGCAGAAGGCAGTATAATTCACAATACATGAAGAAACCAATCTGGAAGTAGCTTCATAACATCTATTCACAGTCGTTTGCAGTTTTCAAAAAATAAACTGCATGTTGCACAGTATCTTTGTCAACCAGATAGAATCATTTTGGTTTGCTGAAACACAGTTTTCCTCTAAGAATTTAATGTACAGTAATAAGCTCTATTCTAAAAATAATTTTATTAATGCATGTTTAAAAATCAGAAAAAAAATCCACAAATACTCAAAAATTTTTAATTTGAGAGTAGATATTCTGCCCAGACCCATCAGAAATGTTCTTCTAATGTTGTACACAACCAAAAATCTCTGTTAGCTGAATAACACCATGCAGCCTTCTTTGGAGGCACAGAATATAACATACATGCCAGGTACTACTCCATAGATCACACCTTCAAAGTAACATCTTCTATAAAGCATTAGATGATAGTTCTGTATCAATAGCTCATTTTATATAATATACGCACACACACAAACACGCACACATATATATATATATACTCCTTATATATGCATGCAATCATCATCATCATGGCTAGGCTTCACAAACGAAGATTTGGGAAGGGCTCTACCCGCGTTTGTTACAAGCACACTGGTGGCTAAAAAGGCCAATACGAGATAGACATGTCTGGTTGCAAAGGGCACCGCAGAAGGACTCCTTAGGTGGTATATTCTGCAAGGCACGATTCTTTCTGCATTGTCTTTTCTCCTCAAGGGTGATCCTGCGTGCTTTCTCAAAGGCATCAGCAGCGTTATAGATGGTGTGTCTCCAGAGCTCCCGATTTGAGGCCAGAGTAGACCAATTATGTTGATCAATATGGCCAAGGCTGAGATGTTGTTTCAGGGAGTCCTTGTATCTTTCCTTCAGGGTTCCTCTCTTGCGGCAGTCGGTGGCAAGTTCACCATAGAGCAAGATCTTAGGGAGGCAGTGGTCCTTCATCCTGGAGACGTACCCTGCCCAGCACAGCTGTGTACTCAGCAACATGGCCTCAATACTTGTGACTGCTGCTTGTTCTAGAACAGATGTATTGATCACATAATCTGACCAGTGGATGTTTAGGACTGTACAGAGGCAGCGTTGATGGAAGCGTTCTAGGAGTCGCAGGTGGTGGTGGTAGATGACCCATGATTTGGAACCATATAAGCGAGTAGACAGCACTATGGCTTTGTAAACACTGATCCTGGTACTTTTCTTCAGGTGTTTATTTAACCAAACTCTTTTATGGAGTTTTCCAAAAGCTCTATATGCCTTTGCTAACCTGTTGTCTATCTCTCCGTCATCTGAGGAGATGAGGCTACCTAGGTAATTAAACTGCTGGACTGATTTGAGCTCTGATTGGCCAATGGTGAGATGGGGATGATGGAAGACTTCCTGAGATGCAGGTTGATAGAGAACCTCTGTCTTCTTGACTTCCAGCCCAAAGAGCTCAGCAGCATCTGCAAAGCAGGATGTTAAATGCTGCAGGGCTGCTTCTGTGTGGGCAACAAGGGCAGCATCATCAGCATAGAGCAGCTCCCGGACAAGAGGGTTTAAGGTCTTAGTGTGGGCCTTCAGATGCCTTAGATTGAACAGACTTCCATCAGTACAGTATCGAATGTAGATACCGTCCTGATCACCGAGGTCTGCCGTAGCCCTTTGGAGCATCATGCTGAAAAAAATTGTGAATAGGATTGGTGCAAGAATGATATGCATGCAATAGACAGTAGATTAAACATTACAAATGTTCTTTATTATTGTGGCATCCTGTGTATCTCTGGTTCCTCCCTCCTTTGTCCAGGAATAACTTAGTTAACATAGGTCACCATTGCACTAGATTAATAACAAATATCTCTTATCTCATTACCTGAAAATCTTTTATCTAAAGAGAAACTAGAATGCAATTAAACAAAAGGTACACATGACACCTAAGGAATTTTTGTGGGATAAATCTCTTTATTGGAGTAAGATGTTGTTTTCACAGCGATTTGTGCCTCAGAGCAAACACTGAGACTTCTTGCTGTGCTCACAGCCCTTTAAGGAGACAAAAGAGCAAATCTGCCAATCTAATAGTTCTGTGACTAGCATGCATGGAGAGTTGCTGCATTAGATACAATTTCACAGTAGTTTCCAATTTCTGTTTCATATAGCTGCTTAATGGTTTCTTGGTTTTGTTTTTTGTTTGTTTGTTTGTTTTGTTGGGGTATTTTTCATCCCTGGTTTGTTATCAAATACAATACAGAAGCTATATTTTGAAATAAAACACTTTAAAGGAAACATTTAATACAATTCCCTTATTCTGTAAAGAGGGAAAACAGTCAAACTGGAATGAATGCATTTTTTATTGAAAATAAAGCCAACTTTATGAAGAAAGCAGATTGGAAGCCCGAGAATATTAATCTGTTGCTATATTGACATACTTTGTCACTGTAGTAACAGGATGATGTTTAATTTTTTGCTAATAAGTATAGATAAGATTTGATTATTCTCATTTGGATTAGGACTTTTTGGGAAGGGGTTGGTTCAAAGAAAATTTATCTCCCACCACCCCTACAACCAATTAACGTGACTAGCAAACTGAGACTGATGGATGAGGAGAAGGCTGACGTACTCGATATATTGTCTTCAGTCTTCAGTCTTCAGTGGAAACTTTTCTTTCCACACTTAGAGAGTAAATATACTAGATATAAGGAAGAAATTTTTTATGATGAAGCTGGTGAAACACTGGAATAGGTTGCCCTCTGGAAACATTCATAATCAGGTTGAACAGGGCTCTGAACAACCTGATCTAGTTGAAAATGTCCCTTCTCATTACAGGGGAGGTTGGACTGTGTGATCTTCTAAGGCCCCTTCCAACCCAAGCTATTCTGTTTCTATGATTAAAACTAGTCAAACTTCTGTGGTTTGGAAAAGTTTGTACACCAAAGCAGAAGAGTTACTATTGCTAGGTGGTCTGGCTGACTAACTAAATTTTGAGCATATATAATCACTGCAATATGCTTTCTCTATTTTCCTTAATAAACGCTGTCATAAATTCACCATTACTTGAAAATCATGAGTAAATGTTTTGAGATCAAAGTTTTCTCCCGCTTTTCCTGGTCCACTAGCTTGGCATGGAAAAAGTTAAATCTCTACAGTGAGTTTTGAAATAAGAAAGCAATGTTTCACATTATATCTGTCCACTTTCTGTGCTCCAACCCAAATGACCATTGATAAGAAGATGAATGACAAACCTTTGGAATGAATCCAGCACGAGATGTGAATACAGGCCACCACAGCTATAGCTATTTATTGCTCCTCCATTTCACTCCACTGAGCATGTTGAGATAGCATTTATTAATAACTTATTCTGAATATAATTTCTCTGATACCACTTACCTTATAATATTTTTATGTCATGTTATGTGTCATTAGAGTCAACATAATGATAATATCCACTTTGTAATGGGAATCATTTTAATAGAAAGAACTTTATTCACCAAAATATGTGTGGAAGGGGGGCCCCCTGGTGGTCTAGTGGTTAGGATGCAGCACTTTCACCGCCGGGGCCTGGGTTCGGTTCCCAGTCAGGGGACTTCCCCGGGCAGATGGAGCTCGTCAGCCCTGTAAGGCCATCCATCTAAGAGAAGGTCACTCTAAACAAACCTACGTCCTGAGGACCTCGCTGCCACCGTCCGAGCTCGCTCGGCCCTGGCAGATGAACCTCAGGATTAAAGGGTGGGCTCAGTTCAGCGCACACTGTGTCTCACCTAAAAAATCCACTGCACAGGTTCGAAGGGTAAAGACCTTTCCCAAATCTTAGTTCGCGAAGACTGGCCATGATGTCTGGAAGGCAAACTAGAAACATTTAGAAACTGTTAGGTAGCAACAGTAGCATGGATGTTTGCCTACAGTATAAACTGTCTAAAGAACATGTCAGAATGAGTAGGAGGCTACAAATGCCTTCTACTGCAGCATGACTGTCCGACTATCACTCCTCCTTCAGTCACCCTGGGTCCGTCTGTGTGCTGTGATTAGTCCTGGCCCACACAACCTATGAACAACTGCAAGCAGCTGTGCAGGAGAGCTGAAGACCATGTCATGTATAAATGTGAGGAATCATCTTCTAAGCATGAAAAGGTTGTCTCTTCTGATATTATTCACCTAAATAATTCAATGACTTTCTATTTTTGTTTTAGTATCATGGAAATATTAAAGGCTGTCTTTTAAACTGGAAGACTACATGAAGTCCTTTTGAACAAATTCTTAGCCCTAAGAGATCTATCAGTTGGATAGCAAGGATTACTGAGGGTACCACGGTTACATTTTACTATAACTTCTGTCAAACTCCCTTTAAATACAGCTTTAGGCAAAACAGTCACTTATCTTTGTCTTTTGTGGGGAAACGAACAATAAATATTTGACTCGTTAAGTTTTTTTATGTTGTGCTCAGTGTGTGAATGTGTGGGCTTATGCCTTTAGAAGATTATTGTGAACTTGGTGCTATAAAGCACAGAGCAAATGCTGTATTAGGTGGTCATCAACACCTCATGCTGATCACATCCAAGTGTCATCTCTCTCTTCTGCACTCAACAGCAGAGGCCTCCAAAGCAGATACAATCAGATGGCAAATGGGTTGGTTAGTACTTCTGACAGCACATATCCACAGGCATCCCTTCCCAGTGGAAAGAAAAATGTTTACAATTTAGATTCATTAGGTAATTCTTGTGGGTTTTGTAACAAAGGCTATATAAATATACACTATTCTGTACAAATAAACAATCCTGACACACAAAACCTTTTAGAATCATTATTGTTTTTAAATCAACTAAAAATGCTCTGTTTGGTGACCTACTTTGTAGTCATTTCCAAGACATAAATACAGAACTAAAACTGCTATTTTTGGCTTTGGCAATGTAAAAAGAAATGGTTAAAAATAAATTATACTCCCACTTTTTAGTGCAGGGCACTGGGAGTATGGGGATGGAGGAGCTAAACTTGGAAGACTGGGTGCAGTTTCTTGCTCTTAGCACAGATGCACCATGACCTTTACACATTGGCACAGCAGTATAGGATTTTTGCTATACATTTTCTGAGAGACACTCATCTCTACTCCTGTTTACTGAAGAACAAAATAACTTATTTTTAAGTAAATTAAAGAAAAAACCTAACTCTCCTAAAATCCAGAAGTTTTCTTTTTCAGTTTAAAAAATGTCATTACATTAATCTGTCTTATAGCAACATCTAGTAGCTACACTCAAGATCAGTATAGAAAAATGGCTGATTGTCATACACAAATTTTTAATTATCATTCATTGCAGCAGTAATTTAAGTTCATTAGACCATCAGTTTCTTAATGACTAGACATATCTGAAATACATAACTGTTGGTATGGAAGATAAAAGAAAGAACAAAATCAAAAAGATCCCCCCCCCCCTGGGTAAAATAAAACCTATTTTAATAATACTTTTTCCAGGTGTAAAGAAGTTAAAGTTATAATTTTGTCTGTTATACACATACTTAGATTACATTACCTGACTTCAGTTGTTCAAATTAGTTTGGAGTAACAGATGGAAATCACCCTGAGGTTAATATCTCTTCCCTTCTGAACTGCCAGCTTTCAGCAGGTTTTTTTATATCTTTAATTTTGCTACACTATTGCTTGCAAATTCACACTGTAAGCATTTTTCTTCTTTTTTTTTTCTCCTTCCTTTGTGTGTGTGTGTCTATATTCTTCATCAAGGGTATTTTATGCCTTTTTATTCATTATATTCACCATAACTGTGGTGGTATGCTTGTCCTTATGAGTCTGCTGTTTGATCACCCTTACAACCATTTGCTATCAGTTTGGGATTTCTCACAGCAAGTACTCTGAACATACCTGTCTGTTCTTTTCAGTTCATCCTTCGACATTATTTTGATTTTTGCTAAAACCTTGTCAGAAATCACATGACAGTTATTTTTATGCAAAATGTTGAATGTTTAATCTCCTGTGTAAGACATTAAATGTATGCTTAAGGCATTAAATGTGTGTTCTGATACTATGCAAGTATGAAAAGCTTTGAGTGGCTGAAAATACTGTACATCAGGGAAGAAAAACGTTTCTACAGTCTAAATAATCTGCAGAAAACCAGAAAGGGATACGATGGAGAATCCCATCCCTATTTTGTAGTAAGGAGGCTGTAAAATAGTCAAGACTCCATTTCACCACTATCTAACAAATACTTAGTCTATGTTGAAGGTAAAGATATTTTTGAAATACATGAATTTGTACCAATAAGTACTTAAGTAAAATATGCTGCCCAACTTCACAGATTATCACAGAAGAAAAATTGAAGATCTAGTTCATTGTACAGGTCCTCAGACTGTCTCTTCCTGTTAAGAAAAACCTTTTAGACAGTAGTCCTCTAAAGCCTATGGAAAACAACCTGAGATGTAAAACCTAGTTCAAAGCTACCATACGTTATCTCATCAAAACAGGACACTTTCTGTGTGACTTTGTGTTTGTGTGTGTGTGTGTGTGTGTGTGCACGTGTGAAATGAATATATTTGAAAGGCATCAGAATTACTATTTATGTGTTCCAGGGGAAACATACAGAATACTGCACAGCTCGGATAAACCTAATCTTCAATATTCTTCTTCTCAAAAGAGTTCAGAACTCCTGATATTGCATATAATGCCAGTTTTACTTAAAACTGCTCATTAAAAGTATGTTCTCTGAGTTGCAAGGTTAAGTGCTCAAAAAAGCCCCATGAAAGATCAGGATTATGCATGGTAACATTGTAATATAAAACTTAATTACTTGGACAACATTGAGCTCTTTTTAACAACTTGTCTGCAACATCAAGAATTAGGGGAGTTACACAGTAAAATTTCCTTGGGTAAATCAGTAAGTCTTTCTTAATGTAGGGTTCACTAAATACATTTTCAGCACTTGAATTACTAGAATAGCAGGTTTACAGTGTTCTTATCTGTGTAGACTAGGATTACAGAAAGAATACTTGGCCTTTGAATTTCATGAAGACATGCTGAGAACTGATACATGATGGGACAGAAAAATTTCAGGTACTATTTCAGGTTCTGAAATACACACTGGTGTTCATAGGTTCCCCATGGTATTCCATAAAAACTTTACCCCTCCACCTCCTTTATTCTCAAATCTTCCATCCAGACTCTTCTTTCCTCAGTTTTTGATTATGGCCCTCCACGTCCCAGTTCCGTAGTTCTTTTCTTTCCAGTTTCTCCTCAATTTTTTTCCATTCCATTTTATCTGTTTCCAGATATAAAACATATAAACAGATACTGGTTTCCTGATTAAAAAAAAAAAAGGTGCAAAATTTAGTTGTCGAAAAATGTGGTCTGCACAATCAGTACAGGCACCTTGTGTGGCCCACAGGAACCCAGCTATAGATTCATACTGAAGCATGACCAGTGGGACTTAAATCTTAGAAGATCTGAGATCTTTAAAATAAACAAGTCTTCCAAGGGTATGAACTGCACTATGCAATACTAAAAAATAGAAATCTTTAAATTTGACCTACTTTTGCAGATTTTTTCTAATGTAGACAAAAAAAGTCACACTTCCTATATTGGCCCTCTCTCTACTACCTTTCAAGACCTTTTATTACAGGAGAAAAGGAACCAGAATTATCAGAGAAAGTGTCAAAATTTTTTCCTTTTATAATGGTGGAAAAAAGTATTTTCCTGTATTTTAATCCGTAAAAATGACTGCATAGTTTTATCTCTTTTCTTTCTTTTTGATTTCTTTTAGTCAGGCTACAGGCTGGAAAATTTCAGTCCAGATGGCTGAAATTTGGCAAACTTATAAACAAACGAAATCAGGGTCTTAAAATGGAAGAGATGGGCAACACTACTAATTAGGTATTCTATATATATTTTGCTCAGCTGCCTCCTCTTTTCCATCTCCAAATAAAAATAACCATGTAAACGGAAAATTGAATTTGATAAAAGATTATGAGTTCGGGGCTTTGTTTTGGGTGAGGGATTATCGAAGCCCTGTATATTAATATCTAAACATACTTTTAGATAATCATCTTCCTTGAAAACTTACATCTTTTTTCCAAAACACCCCTAAAATATAATTGCTTTAGTTATTCTAATTATGCTAATGTTCTCTCTGTAGGTGTAAATGTTTGACAGCTATGTGTATTCTAAAAAGTGAGCTTTTCCATTCACTGTTACACCTCAACTCCAACTTTATAGGTTTACCACTTGTATCTAAAGTCAATGTCAAAACACTGCAAGAAGTAACGTAAAATGGGAGTATAATCGTTTGTGGCACTCTAAACTTTCAGATCCTGGTTTCAGATGACTTGTTTCATCATCTTCCTGTATTTTTCCTTTACATTTATCTCTTGGAACCTCACTGCACCCATTCTGTAAGCAGTTCATCAAGCACCCACCATACACTGATAGACAAGCCTATCTTTTCCTGAGGCCTCAGTGACTTGCTGTTGGTTGGCTCCATGCTAAAGGCACATTCAATGTAATGGTCTTTATTTGAACTTTTGAAATCTGTGTTTTCTGGAGAAGATTTATACTCTGCATCTCAGATGTGGTAATATGGAAAAGTT